GCGGAATCGTAAGAAAAAACAGTGACGAGTTATCTCTAATCTAAAGCGCGAAAGTGTTAAGATATGGGCACCATACAACCGCTGCATATTCCAGCTTTGGTCTAACAAAAGTCGTAAACAATTTCTTTAGTAGTTCGCCATCCATATATTTAAAAGTAATTCTGAAGTTAGAAAGTGTAGCATAGGCTCCTCACACAATGTTTTTAATGTGGTTGTTAGGTGACAGTTTTCTATCTAGAACCACCCCTAGATCCCTTTCTATGCCAGAATTCTTTAAAGATTTCTCACATAATTTATAGGTTGTGTAGGGTCTATGTTCTCCAATTCCACATTCCATAACATGGCATTTATTCACATTAAATTCCATTTGCCAAGTGTTGCTCCATATACTTATTTTGTCCAGGTCTTCTTGAAGGGCATGACAATCATCTAGGTTTCTTATTTTCCCTATTATCTTAGCATCATCAGCAAACATGTTCATATAATTCTGTATTCCCACTGGTAGATCGTTTATGTAGACAAGGAACATTACCGGTGCAAGAACTGAACCCTGTGGTACTCCACTCGTGACATTCCTCCAATCCGATATCTTGCCTCTGATCACGGCCCTCATTTTTCTGTTGGTTAGGTAATTTTTCATCCATGTTAGAAGCTTACCCGTCACCCCTTCAGTATGTTCCAGTTTCCAGAACAACCTCTTATGGAGAACTGTGTCGAAAGCCTTTTTTAGGTCCAGTTAGATGTAGTCAATCCAACCATCTCTTTCCTATAAAATCTCTGTGGCTCAATCATAAAAACTAAGTAAGTTCGTTACACAGAATCTTCCAGATCGAAAACCCTACTGTCTGTCTGATATTATATCGTTTTTCTCCAGGTGTTCTACCCATTTAGTTTTAATTTTTTTTTCCAATATTATGACTATTACACTTGTCAGTGATACAGGTCTATAATTAAGGGGGTCTTCCCTTATTCCACATTTGTAGATTGGAACTATGTTAGCCTTTTTTCACACATCAGCTACAACTCCTGTAAACAGGGATGCCTGAAAAATCAGTTGAAGTGGAATGCTGAGCTCAGGTGCACATTCTCTCAGAACCCATGGTGAAACTCCATCTGGACCAACTGCTTTGTTCTTACTTAGCTCCTTGAGCATTTTTTCCACTTCGTCTCTAGACACCTCTATGTGCTTTATGTGTGGTGTGAGCCAGGAGTTTAGAGTGGTTGGAGCTGCATGTAACCGTGGTTACCTTCCTGGTGCACTCCCTATAGTACTTCCCTTGCATTGCCAAGGTTATCTTCCTGGCAGTGCAAGGGCAGCACTAGGAAGTTCATAAGGAGTATCTTTCACTCCACTTGTGGTGGCCTCTCACCCAGGGCTGTCAGGGGTCTTGAGATTACTGTCTTTTCTCAGGTCAGTAGTGCCATTAATATTGGCTGATGGGGCACACAGGTTACTCACATGATGCACTTCTGCACAGCAAGGTCAGCCTTTGTAGCCATATGTAATTACTTAAGTATAGTTACAGGATGAGAGCTATGCCCGTGGTGTCCCGTCTTCCCAGTAGTCTTTGTCGTATAATGCTTTGAAATTTCTGACGATGCTTTTGGCCTACAGCTTCTTCTCACTTAGCTTATTCCAACTGTCTTCCACTCTGTTTGCAAAAGAAAACTTTCTAATTTTTTTTGGCACCTTTGTTTCCTTAGCCTGAATCTGTGTCCTCTTGTTCTTGAAGTTGCTGGTTTCAGGAATTCCTCTTTTTCAATTTTATTATTTATTTATTTATTTATTTATATATATACAAGAAAGTACATTGGGGGTTAAGAGCGAACAAAAAGTTTAAGTTGAAATTACAATCTTGTAAAGCCACTAGCACGCATAGCATTTTGGGCAAGTCCTTAAACTAACTTAAGGGGCCTTGTAGCCTGGTGGATAGCGCGCAGGACTCGTAATTCTGTGGCGCGGGTTCGATTCCCGCACGAGGCAGAAACAAATGGGCAAAGTTTCTTTCACCCTGTTACCTAACAGTAAATAGGTACCTGGGTGTTAGTCAGCTGTCACGGGCTGCTTCCTGGGGGTGGAGGCCTGGTCAAGGACCGGGCCGCGGGGACACTAAAGCCCCGAAATCAACTCAAGATAACCTCAAGATAGCTTTAGAGCAAGTTCTTAAACTAACAGAAAGTTTTAGAGAAATAAGAGTAAAATTAATAAAAAGTGTTTAACAGGTACTTTACAACTTTACTTTACAAGTACAGATGATTTTAAGTAGGATAATTACAGTAAAATTTTCAATTTTTTTTATAGGTATATTGCAAGAATTTTTGACACAAAAGCAGATCAGAACAATACACAATAATAACAATACACAATAATGAACAAGGAATCCTAAGTACAATTAGGAAAACATCTCAGCGTTATACATTGGATCACTGAAGCACAATATGAGGATCATTACAAGGAGTAATGCAGTAGAATATGCACTTATTACAACAACCATGATAACAGATGATCCAAGATCACAATGGTGAAGAATATGGCTTAGGTACAAAGAATGGGGGATTAGGTAGCACTAGAAACAGTGTGAAGATAAGGTTCTAGGTAGAAGACTATGAAGATGAAATTAGGTACTTTTTTATTTTATTTTTGAATAAGGCAAAAGTTGGACAGCTTTTCTGTTCATTAGGAAGTGAGTTCCATAGACTAGGACCCTTTATTTGCATAGTGTTTACACAGATTTAGTTTGATTCTGGGGATATCAAAAAGATATTTATGTATTGTGTGGTGATTATGTGTTCTATTACATTTGTCCAGGAAGAGTTTCAGAACAAGGTTTGCAATTAAAAAAAGGGTTTTATAAATGTAATTAGCACAAGAGAATGTATGGAGTGAATTTATGTTTAGCATGTTTAGGGATTTAAACAGGGGAGCTGTGTGTTGTCTGAAAGCAGAGTTTGTTATTTGGATTTGAATTTGGTCGATTCCTGTTAATATTTTGTATGTGGTCATACCTCTTTTTCTTCTATCTTCTAGTTTTGTCCTGTTTTAACACCTCTAGTCTCTCCTTGTAACTCATGTTTCTCAGTTCTGGAAGCCATTTTGTAGCACACCTTTTCCAGTTTCTTGAGATTTGGGCAACATACAACCGCTGCATATTCCAATTTTGGTTTCACAAAAGTCATGAACAGTTTCTTTAGTATTTCATCATCCATATAATTAAAAGGAAGTCTGATGATGGAAAGGGATGCTATCACTCTTCTCACTTATGTGTTCCTCTGGCATCAACTTACTATCCAAAACCACCTCTAAGTCTCATTCTTTATTAGAGATCTGTAATTCCTTTCCACATATTTTGTAAGTTGTGTGTGGTCTATTTTCTCTGAGTCCACATTCCATAACATGGCATTTATTCACACTGAATTTCATTTGCCACTTGACGCTCCAAACACTTATTTTATTTAGATCGATTTGAAGGGCATTACAATCGTCTGCATCTTCTATCTTCCCCAGTATCTTAGCATCATCTGCAAACATGTTCATATAATTCTGTTTTCTTTCTGGTAGATTGTTTAACTAGATGATGAACATTATTGGGTAAGAACTAAACCCTATGGTACTCCACTAGTACCACTCCTCCAGTCATTTACATTGTCTCCGATTACTGCCCTCATCTGTCTGTCAGCTAGAAAAATTTTCATCCATGTCAGCAATGTACTCACCTAGTTGTACTCACCTAGTTGTGTTTGAAGGGGTTGAGCTCTGGCTCTTTGGTCTCGCCTCTCAACTGTCAATCAACTGGTGTACAGATTCCTGAGCCTATTGGGCTCTATCATATCTACATTTGAAACTGTGTATGGAGTCTGCCTCCACCACAACACTACTTAATGCATTCCATTTGTTAACTACCCTGACACTGAAAAAGTTCTTTCTAACGTCTCTGTGGCTCATCTGGGTACTAAGTTTCCACCTGTGTCCCCTTGTTCGTGTTCCACCCACGCTAAAGAGTTTGTCTTTTTCCACCCTGTGTGTTTGAGTGTACTGATTTACTTGTATCTCATACCAATACTGATATATTTGAATACTGTTGTAGTGTCCTAGTGCCTAGGTGTCCTGTTGGGTCAATTTTCCTGCTTTGCCTGGAAATCCCTTGCAGGTTTAGTGGTCCTATGAACATCCACCGAACCCACTTTTGCTTCTTGTGAGGGTTGGACATTGTTAGTGCTACGTGGTGACATTCATTCCTTCTGCCTCCTCCATGTTGCCTGTTAGTCGGTGACACCTTCGACCTGAACCACATAGGAGCTAGCTCCTCTCATGTTGCTCTCCTTCTGACCCTTTTAACAAGGTTAAGGTTTATCAGGCAGTGACTGCTTTGCATGTTAAGTTTTCTGAGTTGCATCAATCTATTGTAGATTTTGCGCCCAGTAGGATGTCCCAGAACTGCTCTATTTGACATTTTAGGATCTGGAATACTTTTGTTTAGCTAACTTTCTGGGTGCCTTCCACACTGGTGGCACACATTAATAAATATGTTATCATAACTGCTCCCTGCACCTCGATGGGGGGGCCAGATTCTGACTCGTGGCCCACAGTAGGCCAATAGAACTCTGTAACTGATTCAACTTAGTAGTATGGTGTGTAGTATAACACACTTTCCGAGACTACCTTTAGGGAGCCACCAGGGCTCACCCAGAAATTAGTGTTTTATTACATTCAATGCTGTTTTATTGTTAATCCACCTAGCTTTAAAATACTGATGCAAGGAAAATTGGCTCAAGTGCTGAGTTACACCTAAGTTTCAAGTTGTTTTTTGTGAAATGGCAAGAATCTCAAATTAGTTACCTAGAGCATCATTTGGAAGGCTTCCAACAAGGAAGGCTTTCACAGTTATCAATTAACTGTGCTTCCCAACCCTGTGAAAGTGAGAAATGGGGAAGTTTTAATAATGATCATTATGAGCTACGTTCTACTCGATGCTTTTAATAATGCAGACCTTATGTTTCAGGCACATTGAAAGATTTAAATGTGACATCCATTGTTCCTGTGGATCTTAACAGTCTCTTGTGCATGAATGCTCAGACGCTCAGTCAGTTTTATGGTAAACTGGGTAACTATACCATGAAGAAACAATATGAAGATGTGGCTGCTCAGAAGAATGAAACTATGGCTAAAATATTTTGGGATAAAACTGATGGAACTTGGTATGATTATGATACAAAAGCAGAAGGAAAGAGAAGGTAAGCATGGTAGTTTGTAAAGATAAAGAATTTTTTTTTTTAACCCAATATCATTCTGTATTTAAAATATCAATACATCATTTCACTGATCGTAATTGAATGATGACATTTCTGGGGGGGAGCCCCCCCTGCGCCTCCCTGGAGCTATCCAGGCTGATATGGATAAATTAGACTTTGGCATCAATGTGCATGATGTTCTAAGCCTACCAGGGACCACGAGCCAGAACCTGGCCCCCTCAGAAAGGCACGAGGAGCAATAGCCTATAGAAACCCCCGTGTGGTTAGAAGCATTCTGTGTCTGCTATCGACCGAGTCAGGCACCTAGAAAGGTAGGCACCCCAAAACTAACCCTATCTGGTTAAAATATTGCTACTGAAAGCCAAACTGTTGGACAGAACTCCCCCAAATGAAAAACGAGCAAACAAGCATGACGTCACAACCGTCACCGCACCGCTGTCTGCGCAGCTTCCCCCTCCCCGTGAAGGGAAAGGGATAGCCTCAGACCCTCACGCTGGCTATCCGCACCCTCAGTTCTGTGGCTGATGTGAGACCTGGCAGTCATGTGACTGGCTGTAGACTTTGCTCAGCGCTGTGCCTTTTCCTATGGTGGTGCGCGAGCCAGGAGTAATTTCACCTTTCTCGGGCTGCAAGTTCCTAGGGGTTTTTCTTTTCTTTTTGTTTTCTGCCTGATGGAGGATCTGCCTCGTGGTGTTGTAGACCCTTATTATTCTGTATTCTTGGTGGTCCTTTGCTAGGTTCCCATGTGTGTACACATCACGAGGGGTTCAGCAATTAATTGAATGGCTCAGCCTTGGTTGCAGGCGCTGCTTGGTCGGTGTCCAAACCCAGGGGTCTTCCTGCGGCTCCGCCCTTTTCAGCAGATCAGGCCAGCCATTATGTAGCTGGTTCGATCTTCTCCTCAAGTCTTCGCTTCTGGTCTATCTGAAGCGAGTCTGTCACCACTTGTATGGTGAGTGGGGGACTTCGTTGATGTTGACCCACCTGTTTGCTTCATCTCAATGGCAGTATGAAGTTTCCTGGCGGTCTTTTTTTTTATTTCTTATCTCTCCGTAGATTTTTTCTGTTTTGGATTGGGTTGTCGTGTCTTTCCTTTCATGGTTCTTTCAGCACCATCATCTTATGCCAAATACTGTCTCCTTGTATCGTGTGGCGCTGGCGGTGCCGCTTCAGCTTGCGTTCGGGGTGGATGTTACTGCTTCTCTGTTCCGCAAGCTGTCTTGTGTGTTGTTTTACCTCTGGCGTGCTCATGCGCCGCCTGAAACATCCTGGTCATTGGACTGGGTGCTCTCTTTTCTCTCTTCTCCTTGGTTTGTTGTGGCCCTTTTGGTTCCGGATTGTTTTGCAAAGGTTCTTTTTCTGTTGAAATTGGCCCCTGGGAGTTGGGTTGGGGAGCTTCATGCTTTCCTCTGGAGCAGGGGTTTTTGGTCTTTTGGTCCTGGTGGTAGGTTTGTTTGTTTGCAGCCGTCTCCTCGTTCTTTTCTAGCGAAAAATGAGACTGCTACTTTCCGGAGGGGTCCTTGGGTTGTTGATGCTTGGTTGGTTCGGTTGGGGATGCATCATGTGTTGTGTCCAATTGCGGCTCCTCGCCGTTACCTGCGCGCCATGACCTCGATGGCCGAGGACACGCGTTGGGTTGACTCGGTTTTCCATCTTCTCAGTTCCAGGGTTCAGGTCTCCAAGGTCAGGATTATTTGGTCCAGTCAGCCTGCTGTCTATCCTCATGCCCATGATGTTCATAAGTTTGCTGCATTGGCTGCCATCTTTGGTAACATGTCTTGGGCTCACATACAGGCACTGGGGTTTTTTGGAGGTCGAACAGGATCCTGGTTGCTCGCTACCTAGTCAGTGTTCCAGGCCCTAGTCGGGCATGTGTCGCATTGAGTTGGCGGTTGCAGCCAGTTCTTTTGATTTCGAGTTGAGGAGCGAGTGGTGACCGCCTCCCAGGTAAGTCCCCCTTGTTTTGTCTTTGGTTAAGTAGCTCTGGGAAGCTGCAGGGGCTTCCCCCAGAAAACTAGAGTTGAATGTAATCAAATGGTATTTTCTAGGTGAGACCCGGAGGATCTCTGGCAACACTCCCTCCCTCCTTCCAGTCGGCAGTTTTTGGGAGTTTTGACATCCTCCCCCAGAATTAGGGGTGTGGTTTGCCAGCGTGGGGGATCTGGGGCTTTCCCTTTCTCTTCATGCGACTAACACTTCCGCTCATAAGTGACATAACCAGCATGGTATGTCACTTGCCAAACCTTCTAAAATAGGCGGAATCAAGAAAAAATACCCGGTTTGGACACAGAGCAAGCAATGCCTGAAACTAAGGCTGGGGTCAGCCACCAAGAAGCCTGAAAAACCACTCTCCCCTGTATGACATGCCTGTTTCTGGAGTAACAGCTGGAGTGGGGGGGGAAAGAGGTAAAGAAACCCCCCATCATAGTCAGACAGGAGAAAGGCATCCACCATGAGGGCCTTAATTGCAGTCGGGGCACAGCACCACCCCAGCTGATGTGAGTCACCACCATCGCAGCTGATGTGACTTGGTAGTTGGGAGCCATCTCAGCAAGATAGCTAAAGGAAGTTTCTGGGGTGCATCCAGAAAGAGGCTCTTCATTACTTTCAACACTGGTTTTATATCTGCAAATCACTCACCTTAACATAGAGTATTCTTCTACTTTTCAAAATTAAAAAAAAAAAGTCCTAGGTATATCAGACCATCTGGAATAGCTTTAAAAATAAACCATCGATCTCCATATTGATCCTGCCAGGAAAAGGAATGAATCTTTCCTCTCATGGTTCTCATAAAGGATCAAATTCCAGGAATTCAGTCCTTTCTGGGGGGTAGCCCCTTCGGCTCCCTGGAGCTATCCAGGCTGATATGTATCTCTTTGGAATCAACATGTTTTGTTCACAACTGTACAACTAAGCTGATGTAGTTAGTTAACAGTCTCCGTGGTGTAGTGGTAAGACACTCGCCTGGCGTTCCGCGAGCGCTATGTCATGGGTTCGTATCCTGGCCGGGGAGGATTTACTGGGCGCAATTCCTTAACTGTAACCTCTGTTTAACGCAACAGTAAAATATGTACTTGGATGAAAAAACGATTCTTCGCGGCGGGGGATCATATTCCAGGGACCTGCCCGAAACGCTACGCATACTAGTGGCTGTACAAGAATGTAACAACTCTTGTATATATCTCAAAAAAAAAAAAAAAAAAAAAAAAAGTTCAGGCACTAAGAGTCGTCGCTACATACACAGTCAGCTGGCGGCTCCCTCACTCATTCAGGGTCACATGCACTAAACTTTCTTCCCCAACAATACCGTTTGTGGTGTTATTACACTATATACAGACGTTATATATAAGTATGTGTTTATTTTGTTCACCACAACTGTACAGCTAAGCTGATATAGTTAGTTCAGGCACTAAGAGTAGTCGCTATACACACAGTCAGCTGGCGGCACCCTCACTCATTCAAGGTCACACGCACTAAACTTTCTCCCCCAACAATACTGTTTGCAGTGTTATTACCCTATATACACATATTATATATAAGTATCTACATGTTGTATGCACCGTAACTGTACACCTAAGTTTGTAGAGTGCCCAAAGAGCATAGTGGCCACCCTCTAAACAGCTAGGCAAATCATGCAGACGACGTCACCTCCGTCACCCAAATGTCTCTTCCCAGCATAATCCTTTTGCTGTTATTACACTAATACACACATTATATATAAGTATCTACATTTGTGTTCACCATAGAGAACCACTGAGCTGGTATGGTGAATGTAGACAATAACAGGTGGCCACACAGTCAGTAAACGATGCTATCTCCCTCCGTCTCTCAGCATCACTCGTCCCACAGCGCTAATTATTACAACAATCCTGCTATTATCGCAACCTGGTTATTTATATCACAGTCAGGGGTCATCTGTAATATTGTCATCGCTAAATAATAGCAATTATATATTTATTTTGACATTTTTCGGCGATGCTGAAAACATCGCCGAACATCGCTGAACAGCAATGCTGTTCGCTCATGCTGCGTGCGCCAGCCTTGGTTGCTCCAACAGTACTGTGCCTCTCACACCTGAGAATATTGCCCACGATTTAAAAAAAAATGGCGTCTGTTTACAAGAGCCCTGAGGAAGCTAATGTGAACCCCGTGTAGCCGCGGGCCATTTGAATCGGGCCTGGCACCTTATGGCATATATATACGCCATGCGCAGTTTAAGGGTTAAATAGTCTGTCTTTATCTACCCCTATCAATTCCTCTGAGAATTTTGCATGTGGTGATCATGTCCCCTCTAACTCTTCTGTCTCCCAGTGACATGAGGTTTAATTCCCGTAGTCTCTCCTCATAGCTCATACCCCTCAGTTCAGTAACTAGTCTGGTGGCAAACCTTTGAACCTTTTGCAGTTTAGTTTTATGCTTGATTAGATATGTACTCCATGCTGGAGCCGCATACTCCAGAATGGGTCTGACATATGTGGTATACAAAGTTCTGTAAGATTCCTTACACAAGTTTCTAAAGGCCGTTCTTATGTTAGCCAACCTGGCATATGCCGTTGATGTTATTCTCTTGATATATCTTCATGGGACAGGTCTGGCATGATATCAATCACCAGGTCTTTCTCTCTCTCTGACTCTTGATGTATTTCATCTCCCAAATGATACCTTGTATCTGGTCTCCTGCTCTCTACACCTATCTTTATTACATTACATTTGCTTGGGTTAAACTCTAACAACCATTTACCATTCCTGCAGCTTGTCCAGTTTTCTTGAAGCTTCAAGCTGTCCTCCTCTGTCTTAACGCTTCTCATAATTTTGGTGACGTCAGCAAACATTGAGAGGAATGAGTCTATACCCTTTGGTAGATCATTTATGTATATCAGAAACAGGATAGCTCCGAGTTCAGAGCCCTGTGGGACTCCACTGGTGACTTCATGCCGATCTGACGTCTCACCCCCTCACTATAACTCTCTGCTTCCTATTGC